TAACCTGTCCCAGAATTTTGGCATTTTTCAGAGGAGCAAGGCAGTAAAAACAGAGGCAGCAATGGTATGGTGCGGGCCTTCCAGACGAGCCGGGTTTCGAGCATGCATCATTCGCGCATCCCGAGGCGGAGGTTGTGGCCACCTTTCTCTTTTTTTTGCATTCTTTCTATTAATTAATTAGAAATTCTGTAATAATTAATGTATTTGTTATTCGGACTGTAATATTTATTTGTACCCTCCGAGTGAGGGCAATTATGTAATAAGTGTGGGTGAGTGTGTGTATGTCTTCCAACCCCACGTCTTTCTTCCCTTTTATTTACCTGCTTATGATGGTAGACTAGGGCATGTTTAAATTAGCATACCTTATGTTATGCATGCGTGCATTCATGCATTTGTATCGCATGCACCAGGCTCGGTACATCACGCTAACTGCATTTGTACTTCAATTTCAAATTGAATACGTGCATTAGTCTTTTGCCTATCTTGCTTCATTCCTGGCCCAAGATCTAGACCTATTGGAGGAGAAAAGAGGGAGAGTAGCAATTCGGCTAGAGGCATACCAGCAACAATTTGCCAAGGCTTACAACAAGAAGGTCAACCCATAAGAGTTCGAAGTTGGGGACCTCATCCTGAGAAAAGTTGTCGGCAACAAGAAGGATCCCAAAGAGGGAAAACTTGGCCCAAATTGGGAGGGGGCCTTATAGAATCATCGCGGTTGCTTACAATGGGGCATATTGGCTTGAAGACACTGATAGCAAAGAGTTGTCATGACCCTGAAACACTTGCAACTTGAAGTTTTTTTATCATTAGTTTTTTCGAAGTTTATGTTATAAATTCATTAGCCAAAGTAATAATAAAATTCTAGTTTGATTTTGAAATTTGTGTGACAGGACTGACCAGTCCTATGGCAATGTTTCCGAATGAAACATGATGAATAACTTAGATTTATTATATGACAGAGTTGAATTATACTTGCATATAATAGCGTTGAACTAAGTTAGCAATGTTTCTGAATGAAACATAACGAACAACTTGGGCTTATTATATGGCAGAGTTGAATTGTACTTACATATAATAGAGTTGAACCAAGTTGGCAATGTTTCTGAATGAAACATGACGAATAACTTAGACTTATTATATGGAAAAATTGAATTATACTTGCATATAATAGAGTTGAACTAAGTTAGCGATGTTTCTGAATGAAACATGACAAATAACTTAGACTTATTATATAGCAGAGTTGAATTATACTTGCATATAATAGAGTTGAACTAAATTGAGTTAACCTAGACTTGCCATATCGGCAGAGTTAAACTCAGAATGGAACTAAGTTCATTCCAATTAGGTTAACAGAGAAACCAAGGTTGAACACCTCGGCTAGTCTTTGTTTGAATCTGACTTCGACAAAACACCATAAGCACATAATGTAAACTTAAGTGAAACTTAGGTTCACATTAGGGGACAGGGAGCAGGTGATGATAAATAGAATTGAGAGCTTGGGACTTATTGAATGAGCTTGGGACTTGTTGAAATTTTTGGAATTAGAAAAATTTACAAGTTAGAATGGATTTGACACTTGTTGAAATTTCAGAACAAATTACAAGTTAAAGTTAGCCGAGATATGCCAATTGTTGGCCGAGACAAGTAATCAAGGTTTATACATGAGATACCCTACCCCGAATTGATTGCACAAGTCATGGTGTACTTTGAATAAATGAAAAAAATATTCTAATTATGAAAGCATGAAAAGCATAAAAGGAAAGCAATAATCATACACGAAGCAAAGCATTCAGTACTTAAGAAAAAAGAAAAAAGGCAAGCATGCATTCAAGAAAAACTTGTTCAGAAACAAAAAGGCACTTTGGCCTGACAAAAGAGATTACTCACCCAAAAGTTACAAAAAAATTACAAACTATCCAAAAGTAAAGTTCAAAGAAAAAATTCCCAAGTGTTGGAATTATGGGCATCGTTTTCAGATTGCTCAACCTCGGCTGTTGGCGTTGTGTCGGCATCGGTTGGCAATGTGGCTTTCTTCTCCGCTGCTATGTCAATATCAATTTCCAAAAGGGTTTGGTCCAAGCTTTTCTCGGTTGCACGAACCTTGGCCTCAAAAGTCGTTAGTTTGGGAAAGGAACCCTTGGAAACCAAGTCTTCTTCCTCATCATGAGTCAAGTCTAGGACTTGATCATTCAATGTCGAGGACTTGGCTCCCTTAGCAACCTCTTCCTCTTCTTTGGCGTCGTCGGACTCAACCTCCTCTTCATCGTTGTCGTCGCCCGATCTTTTTTTAGGCGAAAAGAAAGGCACTTGAAGTTTGCTAATATCTCGGAGGTCGGAGTCCATAGGGATAGATAATTTGTTGAGAACTGCAGTCCAGCCGATGTAAAAGCCTCGGTTACAAGCTTGGTTGACTTGTTCCTTATATGCATCACGGACGGTGGCCTGCCCTACTAAGAATGCTTTTTCGTCGGTCACCTTGAGCTTGGCCTCTTTCATAGCCAGGACTTCTTGGAGCTCCGCCCTAACCTCGGCAGTTTTGGCCTCGACGTCCTTGATCTCAGATTTTAGTACTTCGGCTATAGCCTCGGCTGCCTTAATTTTTTTCTCGGCCTGGTCTTGGCCTCGTTTGGCCGCCTTGGCCTGATCCAGCAAGACTTTGATCTTGGCTTCAATGTTGTTTAGTGAGGAAAGGAAGCCAACAACTTCCTTGGTTTTGTGCACCAACTCTTCTTTGAAAGCCTCGGCTTTCATGGCAAAAGAATGGGCATGGTGGATGGCTTACAAAGAAACAAGCAAATTAGTAAAAAAAATTCAAATTGTTGAACGTTTGCAAAGTAAATAACGACACAAGTGTCGGGTACTTAAAAGAACTGAATGTTGCATTATCAATGCGAAATTTTCATATTCGTTGATCTCAGCCATGCGATTACGATTAGTTGGAAAGAGCACGGCTTTGGAGAGAGCAGCATCGACCTCAATGCTGTCAATAGCACTGTCACCAACCTTCATTGGCTTATTACCAATCATGATGGCAAGGGCCCATGGATCGTCAGTTTTAAAGGCACGGGGGCTCGCTGCGACTTTGGACCTCGATCTCTTCGACCGAGCGGTATCAAATGGCTTGGCCTTGGCAGGCCTTTTCTCGACTCTAGAAGAACTCTTCTCGATCTCGGCTAGTTTTGAGATCGGCACAGTATCTTCGGTATCCACTTGGGTAGTTAGAGCCTTTGCCTTGGCGCATTTAACTCTTTTTGCCTTTGGCTTAGGCTGGAACTCTGATGGAGAAGAAGTAATAGTAACCACTCCTAGCAAGTCAGCCAGAAGGTCTTCCACAATAGTTTTTCATCCCATATCGTCGGCTGTTGTAGCAAAGGTAACTTTGGTAGCGAAATGAATGACTGGAAGGGTGATTAGAGGATTGGCTAGATCGTAGGCCGACGCCTCAGAATCTTTTCGTTTGCGGCTACGAATTTTGCTTGCTAGTACGTTTGGTAGAGCTCGACGTCGGTGTCGGCGTTGAGATGATGGGATTAGTTTAGCTAGAGCAGAAGTAGAGGGCTGCTCTACTAGGTCTGATGAAGAGGCCTAGTCTGGCCTTAGCGTTGAAGCAATTGTTGGAGTTGTTGTTGATGGGGAAGTCTTGCTTCGGCGTGGAGCGTCGGGTAACGCAGAATTGTAGATCGGGATATAATTAAGTGGCAAAGGGGCTTTGTGCTTATTAATATCCAAACCTAAAAACCTTTTTTAGATCAGGGCTGAGAAGAAGGTTTGTCGAAAATCCTTTACTGGCTGGGGAAGAGCTACAAAAAGAAACGAGAAGAAAAATATTTAAAAAATAGATATATAATGTCTAGTCCTAGCCAAAATATGATTAAAAGGATGACTCAGTTCTTGCCATCACCCTCTTTAAACACCGATCGACGCAGATGATGGAGATGAAGATCGTCGTCAGGCGTAAATTCCCAGTTGCCCGAGACAATGAAGTAATCATCTCTATCACCCTTATTAGAGTCTAACAAGTCAGCTATTAGTTTGTAGGCAGTGGACCTAGGCTTAAAGTAATATATATAGCCTTTTTCAGATTTAAAGCCACATGGTATATCAAAATTGGATGTCGGCTAAAGTGATCCTAGCCTTTTCTCGGTGTGCTAGTTCGATTATGCCATTGATAACCCTATATGAGTTTATGGCAAGTTGCATGGGGTTAAGTTTGTAATAGTGAAGGATTTCACGAAAGAGAGTGTCTAGGGGAAACCGAAGTCCGAATTCAATGAAGGCAACCACTAGGAAGGGCATGGAATCTCCAACTGGCATGATAGACTCCTCCTCCCCAGCTAACCTAATCTGGACGTCAGTTAGGATAGAAAACTCCTCCCCAGTCGTAATTGTTGATTTTTGATGAATAGTGTTAACTTTTTAACTTTTTGAGTAACTTTTTAATTTTTTTACAATACGCCAAACTTGGCCTAAATGTATCTCTTATTACAAAGTCAAGATTTCACTCACTCTACTTACTTTTATATCTCCATTGTGTGGCCAAAATAAAAGTAAATATACTTTTCTTGTTGTGTTTGTTTGAGGTATCTCTTCTGTTTATTGAATTATTTACAATTTGTTTTATTATAATTGAATGTTTAATTTGATGCAATTTTCATGATATTTATGATTTGTCTCTGGCCAATTTGATTCTAAAAAATAAGCATGTTAAAAACTATGGGATTGTTTAAGATGTTTTAAATAAATATATTTTTTTACTTTTTATGAAATATGAGTTGAGTTTGAAGTGATATAGTGGAAAGGTGATGTGACTTAAATAATATGATGTAACTTAAATAAAATAATGACTTTTTAACTTTTTAACTTTTATTAAAAATATCAAACTTAGCCTAAATATAAAATACTAAAAGAGCAACAAGAAGTCTAAGAACACAAAATCAACCATAAATAATTATTCAAATACTTTAATGGGAAAGGAAAAAGTTGAAACTTAAATGGGAAAATAACAAATAAATATAGGCACGTACATGCATTTTTTTCCACTCACAACCAAGAGGACAATAACAAGCAAAGACAAGCCAACAACTTTACACACAATAATCAAATCAATTAAGGCAAAGTTCATACTCTCTCTCTCTCTCTCTCTCTCTCTCTCTCTCCATGCACAAACTGTACATAAAAACATTGTTTCAAAACTTTGCATTTATTATATTCCATATATATAAATCACTCTCTCTTTTGAAGTTTTAAAAGCTCTCAAAATGAAATGTCCATCATGTCCACTGCCAAGGACTCCATCATCAAAGCCTCTACCTCTCCTGAGCACTGCATCTTTGAGAAAACCTTTCCTGCAAAATTTATTTTGACTTTATGTAAATTAGAAATTCAGGCTTGTTTTGAGAAGTGATTATTTTAATTAATTTTTTAATTTTTTACAAAAATAACATGTAAAAAAATAATGAAAATAATTGACTTTTTTATAGTAATTTTTTAACTTTTTAACTATTTTAGATTGTTGCCAAAATAAATCCAATTCAAGCATCCCAAACCAAGTTTGGTTTTTGACACACGAAAATTGTGAAAATTGAGAATTAAAAAACTTGTCCACTTTTAAAGTAAAATCGTAAAATCTTGAAACGTGACCTCAAATGGTGATTTTACATATTTTTTTCAATAAGCTCAATGGGTTGTATTCGCTACTAAATGAAATTATTTATTAAAAAAATATTTAATTTCACCTTAGTTAAATTTCCCCCATTTTTTTTTTTTTTTTGAAAAAATAACCAAACCCCAATTTGTACTCTTTTTTTTTTCCCAAAATATAATTTGTGTACTAGATTGAAGGGAAATTAAACCCCAATTTCATTTAATTTCACCTCATACTCTTAAACCTAATGCTACCACTAAAGTATCAAACAAGACAAACATTTTTATCCAACTTTTTCAAAACTCAAGCTAAAAAAATTGTGATTAAGTACTACCAAATGGGGCTGTAAAGTGGAGGCACATACCATAGGAGGAGGCAACTTGGTTGGTAGTGGGACTAGGCAACTTCTTGAGGGGGCATGGGGAAAGGGGAAGAACTGGTAGGTTTTGGCAGTTGCAAATCTCAATCATGTACCCATCTGGATCATGAAAAAAGAGTTGATCAACTATCACTCCTCCTTCCTTCACCACCGCCGTCACGTACTCAATGTTCATCTCCTCCAGCTTCTGAATTATCAATCCCATGTCTGAGGTTTGGAATGAAATGTGGTTGTCCTTTGGGTTAATCCTACCTTTCTTGGTTGGGACATCATCAATTTCCAACAAATGGATGCCAATTCCATGGTTGAACAACCTGAAAATTGAATGAATTTCAAATTTTTAGGCTTTTATTTTTTGTAAAAAATAATAATAAATAAAATTTTCACTTCTTTTGGTCTTGGGAAGACTAGGCTAATGTGGCTTATCACTTCCAAAAAATATCCAAAAAAGGCCCATGACTTTAAGATTTTTTACAAACTTGAGCCTGAAATCACTTCTTTATCACACAATTTGAACCATTGAGGTTGATCGGGTGGTAAGTAGGTGATTTGGAATAATACATACCAATCTCTCATGTCTCTAATTACTTTTTGTGCACATTACTTGCATTTTACATGCATTTTATCGCGCTATTTTGCGAATCGCGCTATTTTGCGCTGTGACCATTACTTATATTTTGCATGCATTTTATCGCGCTATTTTCCGCAGTGCGCTATTTTGCACTGTGACCATTACTTGCATTTTGCATGCATTTTATCGCGCTATCTATCGCGCTATTTTGCACACCTCATTGAACTGTTTTGTGCACATTACTTGCATTTTGCTTGCATTTTGTATGCATTTTATCGCTATTTTGCACTGTGCACATTACTTGCATTTTGCATGCATTTTATCACGCTATTTTGCGAATCGCGCTATTTTGTAATGGTCATCATACAATCTATTGAATAGTAGAGAAATGATTTGAGATAAGAAATAATGAGATAGGAGATTTGCGTGGCAAGAGAAGGGAGAATTGCTATGGAACCCATAATTTTTTTGCTATGTAATTGCATAATTAATGTACTTCCACCTTTGTATATGGAATATGTGCATGGATTTGACTAGAATGAAAAAAAAAATTTACTAAACAAATGGAAATTAAATCATTTGGAACAAAGAAATTTCAAATAGAATTGAATTTTGATGTACTTAAATTCCATTTTAAAATCTCTTTTTAAAACCACATGGATTCAGATGAAATCCACTTTTAAATTGAACAAGGCCCGTTCATTCTACAGTTTTTCCATTATTAATTTAAAATATTTAAGTGGAAAAATGTCAACAAACAATTTCCTTTCTAGTAAAATTGTGTGATTCTAAATACACCACCTTTTTCTATCTTTACGACACCAATTAATTACAATTTTGTACAAATTCATGATTCGAATATATCTAAAATTTTATTCAAATTTATAATTTAAATACCAATTAATTTTTTTACCCAACTCATCTCGTAGACCTACTAATAAAGAAAAATTATGCAAAGTCAATTTCGTCAGATAGTATAGAGGATAATAGCATGAAAATGAGCCATGCCATTCATCAATAGAGAGAATAGTTAATTATATGTTGGGTAATTGGAGTAGAAAAAAAATTGAATTTGATGGGATTGAGGATGTTTTAGCTTTGGTAAAGTTTTATTTTTAAAAGAGTTTTAGAGACTAATTATATAACTTTGGTAAATTATATAACTTTTTTTATGAATAAATATATAAGATTTTAGAGAATAATTTAGTTTCTAAAAATGAAATTTTGTTACAAAAAATATTTAAGGATCGATTTCAATCATCATAAGGATAATTGTTAAAAGATCAAAAAAATAAAAAACAAAATTTTTAGCAACAAAATTTTTAAAATGTCACTAATAAATACAATTTGGGACAATAATTTAGTCTTAAAAGGGTTTATTTTTTGAAACAATAATTTTAGTCCAAAAGGTTAATAATTCATCACTAATATTCAATTTTCGTTGTTAAAAATATAATAACACTTTCGTCAACAAAAATATTTGATCCCTAATAAATAATTTTGTCCCTACATTTTTATCTTTAAAACTTTAATTTTTTTATAATGTAATCTATATGCTATTTTAAAAATAAATTATTCAAATAATTAAAGTGAAAGTGAGATTGGTAATGAGTCTCGCAAGACCTTGGTTCCCATTTTTTAAAAACAGTTTTCAGAAAATTCTACACTCTTATTTTCCGTGTTTTTTTGTTTTTACTAAATTTTTTTAATATTTTATGCAAATTTTTTACTTTTTAGACACATCTAACATAAATACACCTAAAAAGTAAAAATTTGTAAAAAAAATCTTTTAAAAATTCACTAAATACCAAAAATACAAAAAAAATACAAGAATTTAATACATTTTTTGTATTTTTATGTATTTCTTAATTTTTTAAAATATTTGTTCACAATTTTTTTACTTTTTAGACACATCTAAGTAAGGTGCATTTAAAAAAGTAAAAAAAAATGTTTAAAATTTTAAAAATATTCACTAAAAATAAAAAAAATACGAAAATCAAAAAACTCAATTTTCAAAAAACTTAATCCAGAAAATTCGAACCAAACACAGTGAATAATGGTAGACTCGGATCCTTTATTTTAAACTAAACATTCCAAAACTATGCCGTTTTAAGTTAAAATTATTGTGAAAAAAAAAGTAGTAGAGAAATATATATAGCTAATGCGACTTTAGAATGAGAAAATCACTTTAAAGAATTAGGATTCATCAAGGTATAAGAGAAGTTCAGATAGTGTATAAATAAAGGAAAATGTTTGAAACTATTAATAAAATTCACACAATTTCACCTACAATAATGTAAAAAAATAAGTATCAACTTTTGATTTGTTACAAACTTAATTATGTGGGCTCTACGTCATTGCCACATCATTGATGGTCTATTTCAAAGAAATATGTAAACCATTAAGGTTTGCCGAGTTGTAAAAAATTGATTAAGCCGTTAATTTTAAAATTTTAAAATTTATTGAGGAGCGTATAATTTGACTCAACTTTTATGAAAAAGAAAATAAAAGAAAAATATATATAATACACATCTACTTTTAGAGTATATACCATATGTCTTAATTATAAAATTTGATTATCACTTATTTAGATATTATTTATGACTTGTGATATTCTTTATGGCTTATCATGATTATTATTTGGGTCAATTACAAATAGGGTTCAATTTAAAGTGTGTAATCCCTTTAAGGATGTACACCATATGCATCTTAAGTATTAATCCTTAGATTAGAAAGAAATGATTGAATTGTTTAATCGTAGAAAATGGAAACCTGAGCAACCGGTTAATCCTTTCGACTCTCTCTCTCTTCCGTCAGCAACTCTCTTTTTCTTCTCTGACTTTTCTTCTATTCTTCCCTGCTGCTCTCGCCATTTGTGTAAGGTTCACTACGTAACCCTTAATTTTGAAAATTACAAATTTCTCTATGTTGCTCTCACTTTTCTTTTATTTTTTGAGATTTGATTAAAATACAAATCGTCTCATGTGATTTTGAAAATTATATTCAATTCTTTGAGATTTTTAATTTCATAACAAATCACCCATTTTATTAATAAATTATCAAATCAATTAACAGCTTTTAATGATGTTAAAAATATATTTTAATTAATAATTTAGGTAATTTTATTATTGTCTAAGAGAGCAATTATGAATTTCATTTTTTTAGTTAATTCTGTTAAATAAAAATTTTAATAAGAAAGTATTTGTAATTTTTTAAATCACATGAGTAATTTATATTTTAAGTAAATCTCAAAAGTGTATTTGTAATTTATCCTTATTATTTTAAGGCTTCGTTTGGAAAGCAAGATTTGGGGTTTTTTGGGCTATTTTAGCCCCAAAAAAAACTAAATAGACTTTTTATTCTAATAAGACAAAATATCATATATAACCCATAATAATTACATTCTTTATCTCACAAAAAAATCAAAAGACTTTACTAAACTAAACTTTTTAACTCCAGACTAAAATAACTTAAAAAGTCAAAAAGATAACCTTCTTCCCAAATGAAGCCTAACTATAATCATAATTATTATATATAGTGATTATTATTTTTATTACCATTAAAAAGATTTTCTAAGTATACTGGATATATGATGTTTCGTTATAATACATTATTACTTTTAATTATGAAAAAAATAATTTAATTATTGCATACTCCCTCTGACCTAAAATACTAATCCCTTATTCCATTTTTTATTGTCCCTCTTCAAAAATTAAGTACAAAAATAATATAAATTTCCTATTTTGCCTTTCTTTTAAATTAATAAACAATGTAAAAAGTACAATTATGACATTGATATTCTCAAAAAATGTACTATCAATAGGGTAATTTTGAAAAATTAATTTTTTTTAAATACAATAATTGTACTATCAAAAAAAAATTGAATTTCTCAAAAGGAACTATTATTTTGGGACGGAGGGAGTATGATTTTGAGAGTGTGCATACTAGAATGGCTCGATTAAAAAATATTATAAAAAAGACGAAAGAAATTGTAAATACCAAGCGCCTTCGAAATCGAAGGAAGAGGGGCGTTTGATGAGGAGGAATCCCAAGACTTCCTCGTAGAACTGAACAGATCTGACCACCGATTTGCAAACGAATGACACGTGGTTCAACGACAGCAGAGGCAACTGCTTCTGATGATTTGATGATCCAATATCCAACGATGATGATGAAGCCAAAGCAGAAGCAGAGAATGATGAAGAAGATGAGGGTGTAGAAGATTCTACCCATCTCAGCATATCCTCCACTTCTCCTCCTACTCCATTCACCGCTACTATCTCTCCACTCCCCATCTCTCTGTCTCTCTCTCTCTCTCTCTCTCTCTCTGATATGTTGAGTTGAGTGTGTTGTGTGTAGATGAGCTTATGGTGTTATACTGTGCCACTCTATAATGATAAGCACGTGTATTTATAAGCATTTGGAAGTTTTTTGAGAGAGAGAGAGACGCGACAAATAACGCGGTTGTATTATAGGGTGTCTTGACAATAGGGTAAAAAGTGATGTTTAGGTTTTGAGAGCTTTTTTAGTAAATCCATTCTCTAAGAGTGGAGTTCCAGGAAACCCATACTGTTTTATAATATTCCATTAGGTCCATTTTAAAGAGTAGAATTGTAATTTCACTAGTGGCTGAAAACCAACTTCTCAAATGTCTTTAAATACAAAAGAGCCAACTTTTATTTTTTGCTACAAACCTAAAAAATCAACTAGGCCTCGTTTGGCAAGTAGCTGTTTTAGTTTAAAAGTCAAAAAGTTACCAAAAAAATTAAAAAGCCTATAATATATACCAAAAAGTTTTTAAAAAAAATTCTCTACTTTTTGCACATCTTTTCATAAAAAGTCGAAAATTCACTCTAAACATACTAATTTTGTTACTTCATATTTTAGTAAAAAAGTCAAAAAATTATTAAAATAGCATATTCCCAAACGAGAACTAAAAGCCAAGTACCCAAAATAGGCCTATATATACTAATGTACCAACTTATATTATGATATTATTATAAATCTTATTTATTATATAAATTATAAATACTAAAGACATTTTAAATTATGTCACATTATCAATTAATACATTAATTAATATTTTAATTAATATATATCACATTATTCTATATGGAGAGCGAAAAAGGAGGATAAGTGTCTCCCCAAGCTGACGGGGACACACGTATACACATACATGCTTTACCTGTAAAGTGGATCTAAAAACAAAAACAAAAAAAAAACAAAAAAAGTAATAAAATTACAATTATTAATTATTAAAATTATAAATTTTTTTATTAATATTTAATAATTTTTAAAAATTTCGACAAAATAATAATTTTTTCTAATTATTAGGTTAAATTACACTGATATTTTTTAAAATTTGAAATAAAATATAATTTTGATATAATTATGTTAATTTTCCTTTTTATAAAAATAAATGAACCGAGAAAAACATAATTGATTCCAAAACACAAAATAAACAACATAAATCTTTTTTTTTTTTTTATTGGTGTAACCAACAAATTATTAATGAAAGAAGAAGTTCAGTGTTAATATAAATTAAAATATCAAAAGAATAATTATGTTAAAATTGTGGGGTATATTATATATTTTTCCAAACTTCAATAGCGGACAATGTAATATGCCCTAATTATTAAGTAGTTAATGATATTAAAACAAAATTTAAATGTAAAACGTGTTTTATTTATACCATCGTTATAATGATTTATAATGATAAGATTTTAAAAAATGGGGCTGGATTGTCTCCTGTTCAATAGTCTAACTGGATTGTCTAGTTCAATCCATTTAGGATTTATCTTGATAATCCGAACTATTTCATGTGTAGAACTTGTTGAATATTTAATTCTTATAAAAAATCACGTTGATCGGATATCAATAGATACTTGATTAGATCACATTTCTGTCAATAAATGTTTTTATAATCGTATTTACCGTTGATAGAAATATGTCCTGATTAAGTGGCTATCGATCCAATCAACGTGATTTTTTTTATACAGGGATGAAGGATGAAGTATTCGATGAGTTTTACATATTGTTAATCAATTTGGACTCTATAGTGGACCTACGGTGTCCCAACAGTATGATCTAGTCCGATTAGAATCAAAGACAAGTCTAACTCTTAAAAATTTCTATGATTTTTTAGTTATTTACACCTAATACACTATTCGGCCACGTTTGTTTGACGGATTAGGTTAGATAAGATTGTTAATGAAGGGATTATCAGTGTAGAGATTGTTAATGTGGAGATTGTTAGTGTGGCAATTAAATAAAAGTGTGTTTGTTTTGATGATAGCATGGGAAATGATTAGTGATGGAATCGTTAAATTATTTTTATATAAAATAAATAAATAAATTATTTCTATATTAAAAAAATAGAACAAATATTAAAACAAATAGGTACACTTGGTAAAAAAAAATGAAATTAAAAAAATAATTTTTTTTATATAAAATAGATTTCATCCCCTCACTATTTTCCTAATCCCACCCAAAATTTAGCTAAGCTAATCTCCCAATGTGAGAGTATTCATAGTCCGATGGGACTACTGGTCTCCTATTTTTGTCAATCAAACATGGGCTATGTAAGACCCACATGACTGATAGTCCAATCCCCGCCCATAGAGTCAAACAACCATTACCTTATTCTATTACACTGTTTATGTGAAGCTTTAATGAATGAAAAATATATCATATTTTGTCTTTTATTTATTTAATAAAAATATTGTGTTAAAAAAATATTTAATGCAAATGAGTCAACATTGTCCTAACTGTAAGCTTTTTGATATGCCATTGTTGTTGTTGTTTTTTTTTTTTTTTTTAACCAGTAAAAAAGGGCTATGCGGTGTCATCACGACCCCGTAACAGTTAGGAATTAACCCCCACCAAGTGAGGGACCCACTACTAGGGCACCAATAGAACGTAACCACACGCTCCAATAGAGGACAGGTTGTCGAGGAGAGTACATGGCGTGTTCTCTAAAGAGATTGAAGAGGACAGGTTGTCGAGGAGAGTACATGGCGTGTTCTCTAAAGAGATTGATATGCCATTGTTTGAGAACATAACATATACAACAATAATATTATATTGACCACAATAATGCGATTATTATCACTATATTTTTAATAGACATGATTGTTAAGATGTGTTTAACCAATTTAATAATGATATATCAATTACGTAACGTGTTGACAAAAATATAAGTTGATGAAAAAAATTTCTTCCATCAAACAATCCGAATTTTCTCCGATAATTTTTTCTTTCAACCATCATCTAATACTTTATTCAAAAGTCACAATTTAATAGTTAATTATTGTTATATTTTATAGTCTTTTAAGAATTGGATAATAACTAGAGAAAGAAAGTGCTCAAAAAATTTGCCTCCCCTTCACTTCTATTCACCATTCGACTACAACTTCGTATGGGAAATTTTTAGTTTTTTTTAACTTTTGTTAAAGAAAAAATGTAATGATTATGATTTAGATGTGACATTTTATCTTATTAATTTTTTAATTTATTTTATTTTTTTGTAACTACAATAATCCAAATCTCATATGTCAAATATAACCTATGTAAAGTCCACAAGCACGACGTCCCTTCAATCAACTAGAAAATAAAAATATAGTATATGAGAGACGGGATATACCATTCAGTGGTAATAGGGGAAATTTATTACAAATTTATGATTTTAATTATTAATATTTATAAAATTTATCATGTATTTATAATTATTTTTAAAAATATCAACTGAACTGTAATTTTTCCTATGATAAATAAAGGATCAATTTTTCAAAAATTTTAAATTTAAATTTGAGAGATTTTGGGACTCATGGAGCTAATCATAAGTCTTGTTCGAAGTATTTAAATGATTCATTATGTAAGGTTCTTAAAGTATATCGTCATAAAAAAATTAAGTCTAATTGATAATTATATAAGATCCTCAGTATATATCATCCTTAGCATTTATTAGAAAGAAATAGTTTACATAAGTTTAAAAAATTAATTATCTAGAAACTTAGGAAAGACTACTTTTATTTTCTAATTATCAACTTTTTGATTTATAATAAATTGTTTCAAAGAGACCTATAGTTCTCTTCTGTTAAAGGTATTTTACCATTTATCAATTAGAAAACATTATAATATAAAATTTTAAACTTTTGCTAACTACAACTTTACACTTTTACTCTTTTTTTCTCTTCTTTTGGTAAGAGAGGCTATTTTTATCATTAATATAAAAATAACAATTTTTTCTTACATGTTGATGTGTCATGCAACAAAGAAATTTAGAAATTTAAAACTTGACCCACTTTAGCAATATGAAGTGTCACATTAACAAATAAAAAAAAAATTATTATTTCATAATAGTATATTACTAGTATTATGTTTGTTATACATATAAAGGTCACATAATAAAATAAAGACAAAATATGAACTATTTTTTGGTAAAAGAAGAACACGAATGGGGCCACCCAAAATTTAAAGTGTTTCCAAATTATAATTTGTTGAAGTGTTTCCAAATTTTTTAAGGTAAATTAAACTTTGCAACATTAATTTTTTTAATTTTTAATTTGGCCTTCAAAATTTAGAATTTTTAAATTTAGTCCCTTAACTATTCAATTTTTGTATGAAATTTACCATTTTTTCATTCATTTTTACGCATTTATCTTTATTTTCATCATTAATTTTAATGAACCAAGCAAAGCCCAACTATTTTTTTATATATTTGTTTTTATGTTTCCTATACAAGTCATATTTTTGGCATGCTTGTCAAATTTCTCACTAAGCCTTTGGTATCGAACTATTGATTAGAGTAATTATTGTATAACAATAGTAATAGTGAAATTACATAGTTGGGTTAGTGAGTAGTGAGACTATATAGTTAAGTTAAAATCAAAATTATTCAGTTAATTTCTTTTTCTGTACTCGTGTAAAATAGAGTTAGGGCCACTTTGGGAAGAGGCTAAAAAAGTTAATTTTTTGACTTTTTAACTTTTTTAGTCAAAGAAGCCAACTTTTTTGCCAAAAAAATCAAAAAACTAAAAAATTAATTTTTTACCAACTTTCTAAAGTACCAAACTTAGAGATCACTCATTAATTATTTTGCTCCTTAAATTAGATAACTAAGAAAATCATCAACTAAGGAATAATCAGATAACGTGATGGAATAAACATGATGTTCACCTACCAACTAATGATTTGGATGGCCCTAAATATTATTCAATTAGCATGAGTTGTTTGCTGTACTATTGATTTGTCGTCTTTTATGTACCTGACATTCTTCCTTCCTCATCTTGGTTCTATAAAAATAAAAATAAATTCTTGTTTCTTTGATACTGAAAATTTCAGGGCAAATTACAAACACCCCCCTCGAGGTATGGTGAAAATACAAATTCC